GGTTTGAATGACTATAGAATATTGTTGTCGTATTTCTTCCAGCAAGATGTTAAAATCGCAAGAAAGTCGTACATGGACTGTCTGAAGGGGGGATACATACAGCTGATATAACCGCAACCAGTCGGGTCGCAATCAGCGGTCGCGACCTGCGGCATTGCCACCAATGGTTGTTTTCCTCCTGAACTGATCTTTTCCCGATCGCCATTGGTAGAGCAAGGCAGCCGCAGGCGGGCTAGGGCCGCGCTGCGCTCGCCGCCCCTGACAAATTGCAATGCTACAAACTTATGAAGTATACTTTAGACGTAGCGAAGGTTATGACCGTGAGAATCAGGAACTCGGTGGCTTGTGAAAAGCTTTTCGGGAGAATTATTCTCTGTCCTCAATAACCCGTTTAGGCAGCTCGTCGAGGGAGGGAGCTTTTTGTGCATTCGTTGCTTCCCATTATCGCCTTCATTGCTTTATAAGAGTTGGCAGGTTTTCTATTGACAAGCAATTTCCACAAACTTCAAAATTTGACTGTCATCTTATGACTACACAAGGGTTTCACAAATCTGCTCGATGGCTAGACACGGGAATAGAAAGCGCCCCCCCACCCACCCATCCCCGCGACCGAACTGCCCCCTTGTTTATATAAGGTCAATGTTTATATTTCTTTGTCCCACTGTTTCTTCTCCATTCGATTTCATTCTCCTTTCTTATGCTTCTTCTCCTTGCCGGCCTTCCACTGACTTACCATAAACCATAACATGTCCCTCCCCAACACCCTCTCCCCACAAATTTGTACCCAGTTGAAAAGATCTCCGCCCTCTGCCTTAGACTTTTGAACTTTGCTAGGTTTCTCGGTTTTTCGCTATTTTTTATTTGGTTTGCTCCTGTTCATAAAGGAAGATTCCAGGAATGGATCTTACAACAATTTGTCATCCTGTGTGACCATAAGTTTGATGGTGTACTCCTGTCGGCAAAATTTATTCTTGAACCCTCTTCCTTCCTGTATGTGGTTAGGCTGCATTCATACTTTGCGGCAGTGTCCGCTAGCGTTTCGAGCGTCTGCCAGCGTCTACCAGCGTGCACAGGCGCCTCCCAGCGTTCGCCAGCGTCTCGAGGAAGTACGATTATCGATCTGATGTATACCAGCATATGCCAGTGTGCACTAGATTCTACCAGCGTCCGGGAGAGGAGAGCGTGGTGCGATAGGAAGGTAGCAGACAGCTGGTATATTATGGTGAGACAGGAGAATGAGAGACTGCTGTTGAAGTATGGCGCGATAGGAGGGTATCGGCAGTCTGCTGCGCTGCTAAGGCGCCATACCCTCTTCTCCCGGACGCTGGTGCACGCTGGGACACGCTGGTGGACGCTAGATCGCTACCTACACTTCCCAGGCTCTTGAGATGCTGGTGGACGCTGGCAAACGCTGACGCACTTTAGTAGACGCCTGCAAACACTAGATCGATATCTATACTTTCCTAGTCGCTGACGCTGCCGGACGCTCGAAACGCTTGTGGACGCTGCCGCAGAGGATGAACGCAGCCTTACAATTAGTCCCGATTCGCGGCATCGCGCGCAAGCCACCAGAATATTTCCTGCCTTGTTTGCTTGGCACTGAATAGAACTTTTACGGTCTACGGGCAATTTGAACTCAATTCCTTTGAGTGCGTTCAATTTGTGTTTTTCTCTGCTCTCTCGCCATGTTTCACTCTATGGTCATTGCGACTTCGCACAATGCTCACGTACGATAAGTGACTCACCCACCCAGGAGTCCTCCTCAAAAAAGTTCATTTCCTGGCTCGCCATAGTTTTTTGCACGTCTCGATGCTTTGGCAGGTCTACGTCGAAACGATGGGGTCTTGGTGCTACTGCGCACATGATCCCACTTTCAACTCTTCTTTGGTCTAAACTCGGGTCACAGCAACATTGCTACCAATATGTAGCTCTTAACCACCTGGTCCAGGAACTCTTTGCTTTTCTCGAATGCGACAAAGCGTGCTAGTCTGTATTGTAAAGCTGTGTGAATCCACTTCGCCATTTTATCAAGCCCTGTCTCTCAAAGGTTCCGAGGTAGGTCATCAACACTTCTCACGAGATGTGTTTCGAACAAATTGATTTACCAACCCTAGAGCTTTGAGTAAGAGAAATCGTGTGGAGATAACATCTGTAACTAACATAACTTCCCATTTCTTTCCAGAAATAACCCTTCCGTTCCTTGAAGTGGTTTCGTAAACCATCGTGCTATATTGGACTTGGTTATGAAGGGTGTTGGTACATCAACTATCCGTATAGTTACAACAATAACGTGACTTCTGAAACGCAAGTGCACCTCGTAGTTAGCGCGCTCCACTGTGAACGGGCATATATCGACTCGAAAGGGGCAACTCGTCCGCTCTCATTGTCACCATGTTGTTCTCCAAGTTTTATGAGTGCTCTGGAAAGCGCTTGCATGAGCTTTTTTTGGTTCGACTTGCTAGTGAATACATGGTTACTCTAGTTCCAATATCCATCAGCACTACTGCTGGGTTAAATATGGAGTCTGTGCCAAGGCTAACTATCAAAAGTGCTCAAAACATGATGCCAAGAGCCTGGACGTCCTTGGAATACTTTTCAAATCAGCGAAACGGACCGTCCCTGAGGCTGGCAAATAGCCATTCCTGCTTTCACATATGCCTCGAGCTTGAGTGTTTTCTGTCCTTCGAACAGTGTCGGACGTTTCGTGGCCCTTTCATGTGAAGCTGGGTACTCATACTATGGGGAAAAGCAATAATCCTTCCTTTTGTGAGTATAAGGGCAGCAACACTAAGCTCACAAAAACTTCAATCAACAGTACCAGGAATCGGAGCTTTTTCTTCCGGGCAAATTTCCCTTACGGCTTGCGTGGACGAGTTTTCCTGCGTGTATCGCGTGATTCACAAGGCTGCCTCACGCGACCTTATCATCACAAGTTTTTTTCGCCATTTCAAAGTAACGGTGCGGTTCCAGCCTAGTCCTTATGCTTTTTGCCTTCAGCACTGCCGCTGTGGAAACTTTTGCGAGATTAAATGAATCCTTTGATCCTGCATCGCGTATTTTCAGCCGTTGGACCCATTCTAGAGTGTTGTCGTTCTCTAGGTTCTCATTCCTGTGGTGGACGCTGAGCTTCATTCTCATGAACAATTTATTGAGTGTGTCAAGACGTGACTTTACTCGAGCCTCTGCAATGGCGGTCAGTTTTGAAATAATAGTAGATGATGGACTTCATGTTTATTTCTACACCAGTCGGATCGCCCGGCTGACGCCGAGCTCTCCTCCTTGTTTTTAGCTGCTTGACTTCGACGGGCACACTAATAATGGAAACGGAATTTGTTCTTTCACGCTGCTCATAATGCGCTGTTTAGATCGAATCGTATGGAGCAACCCGAGAGAGGTGAAGCAGAGGTGAGGGGTCACTCGGTGTCCCTCCCCTCAGCTCACCCTGCCCCCACACGAGCACACCTCCAGCTGCCACGCGAGCAGCGTGCAGTGGCTCAGAGTATGCCGAATGGTAGTCTTATATAGTGGAGACTGTATCACAATCAAACACTGGATTTGATACATCCGCACCCAATCGGTTACCGGTTTGTCCTAGCGGTCGTTTTCTCCTCCAGCTAACTCGAACCCGTGAAGCATTTTGCGGACGGACAGACATACATACATACATACATACCGACAAACCGACACACAAAGTTAGTGCTTTATAGAATAGAAAGGATAAAGGTGTTTTCAAGGGTGAGACAGCAGGCATCCTTCTTTGGTTATATGATGCTTTTAATTTCTATGCCCTGGTGTTTGAATGGAGAAGTGGACGGTTCCGTTCTCTGACGCGACTGGGTTAGGCTGTACCCTATTTTCGAGGGACTAAGGTGGCACTCTAAGCTTGCGATAGTGAAAGCTGTCGGACAAAAGCAAGGACGAAAAGGATTGGATACGTGCCGATCGGAATTAATGCAGAACTGAAGGATTGCAGAAATGCAGAACTTGAGAAATGACGCATCGCGCTGCATTTTTTGATATCACTACTTGTCTAGTCCTTTTCATCGTTTCTTCTATCCCGCATTTCTTCACTTCTTCAATCACGCAAGCTCTGAACGCGGCATAAAGCTGCGTTCCTATTGGGTTGGTCGAAAAGTTTTGGTAGAGTTTTTGAAAATCCCAGAACTTTCGATTCTTGTCCACAACCAGTGATCTACCATGTGGTAGTGGTAGAACATTCTTCTCTGTAATGGGTATATACGCGCTTCCTCCTTTAGCTTAAATCATGATGTCAATTCCACGAGACCATGTTCGTCCACGAGTGGCGCCGCGGCACCGGAGCGACGGCAACCGTTCGCAACATCAACAGCGTATGGGGGGAGGACACCACTTCCATCGCTACGGTCCATCGCTGGTTCGCTCGCTTCAAGGAAGGAGACACGGACTTCGAAGACAAGCCTCGGTCGGGACGCCCCTCGCCGTCGACGACTCCGTCATTCTCGACGCCGTCAAAGAGGATCCGGAAGTTAACACCGCAGTCTTGCGACGAGACTTGGGTGTGCCCAATCAACAGTCGCCTTCAGGCCTCGGTTACAGAAAAGTGCTGACTCGATGGATACCTCATGTCTTGACCGATAGCATGCGGTACACCCGGGTATCCATTTGTCAGTCTCTCCTTCTCCGCCCACATCGCAAGGAGTTTCTGGAGGACCTAGTTACTGGAGATGAAAGCTGGATCCTCTACGACGCTAACAAGCACCGCGCCGTCTGGCTCCCGCGAGGAGAACAGCCGCCGACGCAAGCCAAATCCGACCTCCACCCCAAGAAGTTTCTCCTTTGCTGCTTCTGGGATTCAAAAGGAATGCTGTACTACGAACTGCTCAAGCAAGGCCACACCGTCACCGCTCCCTATTACGCTGGTCAGCTGCAGAAACTTGCGGAAGCCGTTCGAGAAAAACGGCCTAGACGAACTTTTGTGCACCTCCTCCATGACAACGCTAGGCCTCACATAGGTAAAGAGACCCGTGCAAAATTGGAGGAGCTAGGCTGGGACACGGTTCCACATCCACCCTATTCACCTGATATTGCCCCTCAGATTACCACTTGTTCCGGCCCCTCAAGGCTTTCCTAGCAAAAAACGATTCGTCAACTATGACCACCTTGAACAAGTGGTCGGTGACTTCTTTGACTCCCAATCTCCCCAGTTCTGGGAGAAGGGAATCGCTGACCTGCCCGTTAGGTGGGACAATGTTATGACTAACGATGGTTATTATATTGTTGATTAGCTTGCATTGTTTGCTGAGTTGTAAAATAAAACAGAAAAAATCTCAACCCTATCAAAACTTTTTGATCAACCTAATACTTCGCCCCAGTGTATGGTAGCGTTCGCGTACTTCAGCGTATATCAGCGCTTTGAGTTACTATGAAACTGTGAATATCGATCTAGTGTTTGCGCGCCAGAAGTTCAAAACTGCCCGCGTAAACGCTCAGAACGCAGTTGGACGCTCGGAAAGTTGGATCGGAATCCATACTTTCCTAGTCGCTGAAAACGCTGACGCAAGGTAAGAACGCAGCCTTCATGGGAATTCTCGCCCAAGGAAAAGCTACCTATCGATCGCCGCTCAGACGCCGGCGCTTTGGGAACGTAGGAGAATCGTGGTCTTTTCACTAGCGCGTTCATCTGTTGTCCGATACTCATATTCTCGTATTCTCCCTTATCGGTGTGGGTGGTCTCATCGAGAAAGACATGGTGTTTTTAGTGTGAAATTGTCGTTTTTTCTAGAAGGGACCTTATTTCATTCTGCTAAAGTTGAAAGGGTGTCTGTTTCTCATTATAAGGTTGCTTTCATGCCTTGCGACACTAAAGAATCGAAGAATGGCGGAACTACGAGAATCGGAGAAATGGTGAGTCCATGAAAAGATAAGATACGTATCGACTGACCCCGTCCATTCGGCAATTCGGAGAATCAAGGATCAGTCAGTGCTCATCTAATTTTTTCATGGATTCTCCGCCCCGTCAATTATTCTTCTCTTAAGGACGGTGCATGTGCTTTTGTTTCACAGATTCTCCGATTCTGCTATTCCTAGGTAGTTAAAAATGCACAGTTTCACGAATGGTAATTATGGTGGTCGCTACCGACACGGTTATAAACAGAGGGAATCACGAAGGGACGATCCTCCTTTGGGCACCTATATTATCCCAGTTTCGGCCTCCAATGTTGACGAGTGTTGTCATGAACCAGATCATCGCCAACGTAATGGGATCTCAGGACCATCGCAGCAAGAGTACCATTCTGCAGGTAAGTAAAGTTATTTGATTAGTTTACGAACGACTTGTTAATCTTGGCATAATGACGGTAATCTTCAGAATTGTTTTTTTTTGCTTGCCGACATTTGTACAGATCCTAGCAATATTAGCTTTACTGTAGCCTTAAGCCAGAACGTGTTCTCGATGAAATCCCCTCGAATCGCATTTCTTATGACAAGTTGAAAAACTATATGTGAGCGACCTACGAGACGATACCGCAAATCCAACTAATAGTATTTCAGAGTTCATAATTTGTGTCAATGTTTGAGCTTCTGTCAGCGTTTCGAGCGTTCTGAGCGACTGGGACGTATATGTATCGATCTAGCGTTTCCGCCGGCGTTTTCGGCAGTAACCAATATCTAAACTTTCTTGACTGCTCGAAACACTGCGTCAATACTTTCAATTCTTTGGTCACTCGAAACGCTGTTACAAAGTATGAATGCACTCTGGAGCAGCCTTCAGACTGCGATGACGCGCGTCTAGGCGCTGTAAAGGGCCGTAACCCGCGTGGACGCGCTCGCCACGCGAACACAACCGCAGACGGCCGGCCTCGATCGATTTTCGCCTGCGAACGTTCGATCGATGGGCGCCGGCCGTTTGGGTTTCGAGAGAGTATGGAGAAATATGTCGATGCGCGTCATCGCGAAATCTGAACTCTGCCCAATCATTTCAGAAGATTGAGCTTCAAGTCGGCGTTTAAAGACAGCCCCCGCGCTCGAGTAGTACATGGTCGTCCTTCCTTGTGCAAGTAGTACAGCCCCCAAGCTAGAGACTGTCCCACTCTATTCGACTCCACAGTGAGCGAGGAGCGAGCTACAGCCGCTGAAAGTTCTAGTTCTAACGCCTGCTCAGTTGGACCGCCTTACTTGCTAGATGCCCTCCGACGAGGCCACTCAGTTGTTCTTAGTTGGGGCGGCGGGCATTAATCGGAATTGCATCTCCTTTTTGCTGACCGCACTCGTGCCCATGGATAATTCTGCTCTCCTTTATTACAGTTTACTCAATGGGGGCATATACATTCAACTCAACCCATTTCGCGAGGTGAAACGCGTAAAAATCACGAGTGACGCAATTTTCGTGGTGCAAAAGCTCGACGCACTTCAGTGCACTAAAATGTGCGCTACCGTAACCCAAAATTCGGACACCGAGTTTTTAAAATTTCTTTTTCCTTCCAAGAGTTTTTCCTCTGCGTTTTTGTTGTTTTTTGTATTCTTTTTTTGCACTGGATGATATCAACTTTGCGAGATGTGATAGAGAGATTTGTGAGCTAGGGGTTGCACAGAGACCGCAGGGAGGTGTGACTGTGAGGGAGCGATTTTTATGTTGTTCTGGACGCTTCCTTGCTTGTTTTCTTCTTTGGGAGATTACTTATCAGCTACTGTTTCATAATTGAAAAGCAACTATCCATGACACTTTTATCGCGGGAGCTGTCTTTAAGCTCACAGACGGTGAGGATATCTGTCAAATGTAGATCTATACCTGACACTGCTAAAGTGAGTCAGAGTGCTTTAGGGAATCCTTGAAAATATTCAGGTCGCGTGGTTGACGCTTTTTTAGAGTTACTTTTCATTAGCTAATATTATAGCAAGTGGTGTTCCCAGTAGGCTGTTCTGTGCCAATCGTTCTTTCCGATGTGTTTTGTGTTTGCTCACATTATTGCCGCTTCAGAAGAATGATTGATTTAATAGAATCTGTAGAGCATCTAGAGCATCTTCTCTGTTGTGTTATGTACAAGAAGCGCTGTTGGTCTCTGCCTGTAAGAAGATATTTCTGAAGCGGACTACTTTATTACAGAGCCAAGAGTTATGAACCACTCGAATGGAAAACCAGCCACTAAATTGGAGATAAAGTCAAAGGAGTATCGGACGCTGGAAAAACACGCTCCACTGGTATGTGACTCTCTTCGCCTTTTTCAACTTATTCTGGTCTTTGCTCTTTTGTGCTGGCTTTTTTTGCCCATCGATAAGTGTGCTAGAGAAGATCGATGATGTTAGAAGTTATAGTGTAGTTCATTGCGGACGGCTGGGCGTGTTCGTGCGGCTGCGTTCTCGTTCTCCACGAGTTGTTCAAGCGAGCAAATGACAATACTGTATCATACCTTTCGTATTACTTGTTTTCTACTGCTTTTTGTCGCATGCCCGTTTCAACAAGAAGGCAGAGAACAGCTCAAAGAGGGTGACACACTCATACTGGCTGACACGCCCAACCGTCCGCAGCGAAGTAGAGTGTATAGGATGTATAAAATGTGGTGCTATACATTACGAGAATAAGACACACTCCGCTCCGCTTCGCTACTGTGCCGCGGACGTTCCAGCGTTGAAAGTTTCTATGAAAGAACATAATCAAGCACTGGGATGAGATCGGCTTTTCACAGTACTACGAGTGCTGTATTGTTGGCGACTGAATGATTTTCGGCATTTGAATCTGGATGTTCCATGATTTGCACCGTTGTGAATTGCGTCTGGGATATTCACGGCGTTCGAAATCAGTTGATTTTGTTTTTCCTCTGAAAAATGGAAAGGCGGAGGTGATTGAATACGCTACGCGCGCGGTCTAGGGATCGAGTCCCGGATTAGCCTCACATAGGCCAACTTAGCTTCCTACCCCGGGAGACGGTAATCTGGTACTCGGTTCGTTTGGGAGTATAACAACACTGCATACATTCTCTGGCCACCGCAAGTTACTGTATAAGCCATAACGCCTCCTGTAAGCCGCTGCGATAGTGGAATGTATGCTGCATCGCGAACTAAGACGGCGAAAATTCCACCTTTCTATGGAAACTTTTTGCTGAAAAACCTGAGGA